CGGGAGGCGCGGCGGGTGAACCGGGAGGGTCTGGTGGGGTACGGGCTGGGGGAGGACGCGGTGGGGAGGGAGACGGCGAGTAAGTTCAACGTGCCGAGTGCGGGCATGGGCCAGGAATGGTCGGCATTTGAGGCGGCGGCGGAGCAAGGAGTCCATGACATGGGCCGCTTTGACGTGGACTACTTGAAAGACGACTCTCACTTGAATCGGGATGCCCTGTCCACAGGGCCAGATGCAGTGCACCATGATACCCGGAAGGATGTCGGGCAGGGGATGGAGAGGGAGGAAGGGGAGGAGAGCATCGAGACGTTCATGGCGCGTCATGGCTACGAATATGAAAATCCGCGGGAAGCGAGAGCGAGAGAGAAAGAGATGCGACGCCAGATGACTCAAATGGGCATGGTCCCTCCCCCCCCAACATCAGAAGCACTCGGTGGGAAAGGGAAAAGGGAGACAGAAGGGGACGCGTACGAGGAATACTACAGCTCCGAGGAGCGGGAACAGGTGGGATGGGAGGTGGTGCGGCAGATGGAGAAGGAGGAGGAGAAGCGATGCGAGCACGGTCTCGTGAAAGCACAGGGTACCCACCGTAACGACCCGTACGCGGACTATGCTCAGTTGAAGGCGGCGGGCAACGTAGAGGACACGGAGGCGATCATTCGGGAGGCGCGGCGGGTGAATCGGGAGGGTCTGGTGGGGTACGGCCTGGGGGAGGACGCGGTGGGGAGGGAGACGGCGAGTAAGTTCAACGTGCCGAGTGCGGGCATGGGCCAGGAATGGTCGGCGTTTGAGGCGGCGGCGGCGCAAGGGATCCAGGATATGGGCCGCTATCAAGACATTGGGGGTGGAGCTTCCTCTCAAAAAGGCAGCGGGAGCACCCTGGAGGCGGAGGAGGAAATGGGCATCGAGGAGTTCATGGCTCGCCTGGGGTACGAGTATGCGGACCCTCGGGTGGCTAAATCGCAGGGCGAGGTCGAGTCGCGCCCCGTCGATGACCCTACGTCTTCTTCCACCGAGTCCAGCTTTCAATCGCTCGCGGCCCCCTCCACATCTGTTGGCAACGCGTTCCCCCGACCTCAGACAATCGCACCCCCTGCGGCCTCGCCCGACGCCTCGCCAAGTCCATTCAACACCATCCAGCCTTTACCACCGCGGGCGGACCAATCGCCCCCACCTTGGGCGCATGAAATCGAGGCTCTCTACGACCGTGTGCGTGCCAATCAAGCGGCGGCCCGGCGTCGGCAAGGCCTACCTCCCCTGCCCGGCGATGCGGATGTGATGCTTCCTTTCATACACCCTCCAGGAGACCAGCCCCTCGACCCGCAGGGACGCCCTCGGCAGTTGACAACCGAAGAGGTGCTGAGCAAGTTGGAGATGGTGCGTGTGAATCCGGACGGGTCTTTCACCAAAGTGGAAGCCGGTCAAGGTTTGCCTGCGCCCTGGGAGCCGCCCACGGCCTCGGCAGTCGTCGGGGGGGGGGGCTTTGAGACCTTGCCCCGCCCCGTGGGCGGGGGTGGGAGCGGAAGTACCAGCGCAAGCAATAGTCCGGGCGGGGGTGCCAAATGACTCGCATTGGCCGAAGGCGTGCCAACTGTCACCAAGCTTAAACCGTCGAGAGGTGGGCAGCAGGGAAGGGATACGTTCTCCCTACGGATGGCAGGGGATCCGGCGAAGGAAGCGAAAGAGAAAGTAGACGAGGACCTGGTATCACGTTTGGCACGTTGGAGCACAGAGTGGGCAAGTCACTTCTGGGGATGAAAGGAGGGATCGTGGGGGAGATAGGAGCAAGCGGGGGGGAGGGACGTTGCTGTGTATAGCGGCAGCAAGTTAGGAACATCGCGCAGGCACAGTTACCATAGCGTTTCAAACATTAGCGACGGCGGCAGTGACTGTTGCCGAAATCATCAGCACCCTGACAGCATGGGCCGTCATACGAGAGAGGGACTGACGTGGGGCTCTGAGGACATGTAAGTTTGCGGCAGGTCCTTTGTCTCCCTTTGTGATGGATCGACTTCCCACATTTAAAATCAAAGAATAAATAGTACCGTCCCTAATTTTTACAAATGGGGAACAAGAAGAGCCGTATCATGTGGTATTTACTATGTCTTCGATTTTCACACCATTTGGTCAAGGAAATATACGCAGACTTCTGTTCTGTCCTCCAAAACCGCTCTCCCCGATCCGTCCCACCCCTGGCCTTTCTCTTTATTAAAATCACAAAATCAAGTAAACGGCACGCAGCTCAGCATTTTCGAACCAGCGGGACATGGCTGGGTCCGCGCACTCGAAGACCTCGGCGAACAGGGTGGAAAGGAAGGCGGAATGAGTGACGACCCCGATCCGATCTTCCGGACGCCCTCGAAGCCACGCCAAGAACTCCAATCCCCGTTCTGCCATCTCTGCAGGCGTCTCTCTGTGATGCTCAGTCCACCGTGTGTCTTCCTCTCCTATGTTCTCAAAATCTACATCCGGGTATTCGGCTTCAAGCACTCCTCGTCTTCGCCGTTTATCGCAGGTATTCTTCCCAATCCGCTCCCGCACGGTTTCAAGCGCGATCCATGAGACCTCCCTTCTGTGATCGAACGCCAGAGCGGCTGTCATGAGAGCACGGCGCAGCGGGGAGACAACCACCAAGTCGATGGAAGACTGTATGGCTTCCACGGATGGCTTGAGTGCCAGGCACTGCGATACTCCTAATTTCGTCAATTTAGGGTCGAGAAAGCTTGGATCTGCATAGGCTGCCCGGCCACGTATTTTAAATGCCTCGTTGTGCAATGCTGTGCAGTTTGCGAGGAAAGCAAAGACAGACAAGCAATGATCCCGAACCGATTTATGAAAAGCATTTGCTTGAAAGAAAGTATGTAAGTCAAATTAAAGATGCATGTTTGCTCGTGCGAAGTACACAGCTGAACGGATTTACCAGGGAGATGCACAAGGAAAGGAAGGCGTCCTTTGTTCAGACACTGCACGGGTTCAAGTGGGTGCTTACCTTCGGCGTGTCGAACAAAATAAACAGTCTTGATTTGCATGCCGGCAGGAACATCTTCGGGGGCGTTGGAAACAGGAAAGGCCTTTACACGCGGATGCTTGGTTAAAGAAAAACAGAGGTCTTTTACTTGCTCCGGTGTCAACGCCCGGCCTTCATGCTCCCGTAGTTTCCTTCCCCCCTGTTGTAGCTTCAGCTCCTCCTGCCCTTGACCTTGCTCGTTCTCCTCCCGAGTCTTTCCGCCAGTCACTGTTGCGGTCATGGTTATCAATAGTACAGGAAGTACAGATGGTAGAAACAAATGCAATCTCCTGTTGGTATGTGAACGAGACAGCTTAGTTAATGGAGCTAGAAGGTCCTCCTCCTCGCTTGGACCTTCCCTCGAATCGCTGGTGTAGTGATCAGGCGGCTATGATTTTGGAAGCTACGACAGGCGTTAAATAACAAAAAAACTGGGTATCTGCTCAAATATTGACCGAGCCTGGAAACTTGGGATTTGTATACAAACAGAAATAGAGATGGATGGTATCACCGCAGTCCTCAACGCAAGCAGCGGACGGATCGGATCGGTCAGGACGCTGGATATTCTAATTATGGCTCTCCGGCATTAATACAGGCCTTGACAGTGGCAGTGAAGGCTTCACTCCCTGTCATCATACTCACAATTCTGAATAGTGAGAGACTAGCCTGAGTCAAAACCGCGACTTTGGAATTAGCTTTCGCGGTTGCTCGCACAGCTTGCAAAACAAGCTCTTCCTCGAACGCAGCAAAATTTGACTTGAAAGCATTGAGAGAAAATGCTTTCTACAGAACCAAATAAGACACTTAAGCAATCCTTTACGATGACACAGTTATAAATGGTGTATGATCATACTTCTCTGTTCATCGAGCTCTTTTAGGACCGAAAATCCTTCCAGCAAACCTCACGTTCTTTTTGTAAAGGACTCATTTTCCTTCCATCCCGCCTGTTTCAAGATAGCGGAAACTCCTGGAGACATTGCCGACAAGAATAAAAGTGCCCGATGGTGCTGCCACGGGCCTATTCTAGACATGATATATACTGGCTCATACCCAAGTTGACGATGCCGCTTGTCCTTTTGCAGCAAGTCGTCTTCTCACCAGGAGGTGGAGACACATTCGTCCGAAGCATTGCGATACACAAGGTCACATGGGTGTTTTTTAATTCACTAGGTAGAGGAATTGAAAAAAAAATACAGATCTCTTCACATAAAATAGTAACAACTTGACTTCAAAGAAGAAAAAAAAAGGGGAATTTGTGTTCCGGTGGCTCAAAATGTCTAGCCACCTTTCATTTCATGCCTCAAGCATTTTTCATCAACACATCATCAGACATCATGCTGCGCCCCAGAAAGTGATGAGGGATTTCAAAAAGCGTGCAAGGGCCCCACTCAGGTTTGACACCTTTCTCCAAAACACCCCCTTTGCTCTCGGAGAATGCAGGGCGGACCGAAGATTCGAGGAATCGGGCTGAGCGGGGATAAAATGAGAATTACGGACTCCTGACGGCATCGAGAGAGAGACGCGAGAGAATATCTAACAAAAGGATCGGCATCCCGGACCTGCCTAGGTCGGACGTGTCACGCAACTCATCACAATAAGCTCCTTGCGGTATCACGACACGGAATTAAGCGGCCCGGGTGAAAAAGTGCCTGTCAAGTGGGGTACTCATGGGCGCCTCACGCCCGGTTCAGGACTGCCGGTTGGCGAGCACAGAACTCGTAGGACAGGTATAGAAGACGCACGCGCTAGCACTTCGTCAGCTTGCTGTTGACACATGGGACAAACACTTTGATTGGTCGCGATACGCAGGGTCGGGTGTTTGACGCATAGTAACATGTGTTATGTCCGCTCGGCTCGTGTGTTTTACCAAGAATCTGCCCGTCTTTTTAGTCGCGGCTGGCATCGCCCAGGAGTCCCCAGTGTGCCATCTGGTCTGTCCGGAAAGCTGTGGGCGAGGGGGACAGAATTGAGCTTGCGCCCTAACCTTTGCACTTGACACCTTCAAAGTGGACAGTCCATGCACGTCGCGAGCAACCATTGCTGGAACCTTGCCTGCCTTGCATCTTGAGCTGACTTGTCGTATGTGTTTTCTTGGAGTGCGCAGCCACGTCGCGGCGAAAGATACAGGGTGCCCGTGTCCTCTTGCCTTTCTCTTGGCTCTCCTTTGTTTCCTCATGAACCTTCGTTTTCGCGCGTCGGACCTTTTAAGACTTGCATATATCTGTCGTGTTTTTCCAAATTAAATGTGTACTGCGGCCGTGAGACGCTGAGGGGCAGTGGTTCATCGCGCTATATTTTGAAAGGCAGAAAGCTGTTGCCTGAGTCTGGCCCCCAAGGATTTGAAGAACTTGTAACATAGACCATCAAAACCTGAAAACTTGCACCCTCATGACTCACCCCTACTCCCATACATCTCTCCAACCGAAGGGTAGTGGCCGTAGTGACATTGCAACGCTACAGACAATTCTGTCGAATCGGTCTATAATCTCAGCGTGTCAAGTCACCAAATTGAGATCTTTCGAGAAGCAGCATCAGTATTTTTCGAGGGGCACCACAGACAGGCGGCTCAATTATTAACATCTCAGACAACACGCACGACGTTTGATCTATGGCAGAGTGTGTTCAACACATTGACGCGGATATTTCCCCCCATGCAGCTTCAGACGCCCTCCTGCGGGAACTCGAAGAAGCCGGTGGCGATGGCCTCGGCGGCCCTGGGACACCGACGCTTTTTACTTCCTCATCTCCATCGCACATTGCCGCACCTGGGCTGATTCAATCAAAGTGCTGCTCTGCAGCGGCCGAGAATCCTGCGGCAGACGTGGTCTTGGGCCCGTATGCCGTCCAAGAAACCTGTGTCATACTCGACTGGGACGATACGCTATTTCCTTCCTCCTTCGTGGACAGGAAAAAACTCATCCATTGCCGAGGGCTGGACGAGTTGCCTTCGGAGCTACAGCGGGGGTTTGCGGAACTGGAAAAGGCCGCCGCAGGCTTGATTACAGCGGCGACAAAATATGGCACTGTATTGATCATCACGAATGCGCAGACTGGGTGGGTGGAGCTTTGTGTGTCAAAATTTATGCCTGGTCTTATGGCTGTGCTAGGAATCTCTGTCCGCGTCGTCTCAGCCCGGTCCAACTACGAACGGTACTTTCCTGGCGATCCGTTGTGTTGGAAATCCGCAGCTTTCGCCCACGAACTCACGCAGCTTCAGAATTCTCAGGGACATCCACTGAAGAACCTGTTGTCCTTTGGGGACTCCATGGAAGAGCGCACAGCGGTGCAGATCGCCGCGGGTCATCTCCAAGGTGCCCGTGCCAAATCGGTCAAGTTTTTAGATGCTCCCAGCCCTCGCGAGTTGCATCAACAGATCGAGGTGGTCACGGACTGCCTGGAGTGGATCTGGCGGCACAATGGGGCCCTGGACGTAGTGTTGACGCTGGAACAGGAACGTCATGACCCCTCGCAGAAGCCAACGGACGGGACGAACAAGACTGGAGAGCATACATCCGGACAACCGCAACTGCAGCCGCCGCAGTCTCGGAGAGCGACCACCTTGTCTCCTATTTCGGTCCCGGCTTCTATGGAGGGGGATTTGAATACACCAGGGTCAGATACGGGCCGCGAGGACAAGTTTAAATCCGGGGCGGCACCGCTTGTGGTGACACCGTCGGGTGTGGACGAGATTGGGGAGCTTGAGCTCGCGGATGCCATGCATGTTGTCACTGACGAAGAGGAAAGCGAGGACGAAAATTAAAGGAGGGACAGACGAGCACAGCACGCGCAAATGTTATGATTGTTGACTGCAAGGACAGGTATGGCCGTCGAAGCCCTGTGTTTTGGGGTGACAAAGCTTGCCGCTGCCACATTTTGTAGATATGTCGGCAAGTCGTTAATGAAAACCACCGTTTATGTTGTTACCATTGTGCAGGCGGATGAGTGATCTAAGTCCGCACGAGAGAAAGAGACCAAAAATATGAACAGAAAGAGTGAAAAGGAACACTCGGAGTCAGAGTGAGAAAGCTTAAGGCAGATATATATATACCCGAAAACATAGAGTGGAAGAGCGGGGGTTGGCAACCTGCTGGCGATGGTATCGTCGGTAGCTTAAAAAATGATGATGGACGGTAGAAAGGCGAGGCACAGGCCTCCAAGCTCGTACGGCCACATAGAAGTATCCGATGTCCGGGCCTTGAATGCGGATTCAGGCTGGGTGCTGATACAGTAATGGCAAAGATAAGACAAGGACAAAGAGAAGATGTATTCTGTAAACATAAGGAGCAGAGTATGAGGCACGAGGACGAGCTGGCGCTATGTCAAGCGACACAGGGTGCGTAGTAAAACCACAGCAGAGGGACCCGATTGATATCTCATGAGGGTTCCGGACACAACTATTGTATTTATTATTAAATTGGCTTGGATCATTGTGGACGTACAGCGGGCAGGTGAGTGACGGCATTATGACATGACGCGTCCACTTATTGCCTTACGAAGGTAGCGGTGGCATACGGAACTAAGAATTGGAAGGGTTAGCGGAGGGTATTCATCCTCGTGGGGATGCCATGTCCATGTGCTGCTTGCCGTGTCTTTTGTAGACATTTTTATTATTGACTTCCTTGATTAAGTATTTATCTGCAAGTGAGGCGAAATGAAAAGCGTGGTGACCGCGGTGGGGAGATGCCGTGCAAGAATGTTGACAGGAATGTGTGAAGATCAATGACTTGTTGCCAGACATGAAATGCGTCCGGAGACCAGAGATATCTTGCTGTGATGTCTACAATACTTGCATGCAATGTCTCTCCACTGAAATGCTGGAGAAGATGGTTCGAGGGCATAATAGACAAGTATTCGGGGGCGAATAGTGTGGTTGATCAGTGGGATGCATACTATCTAGGGAGGTATCTTGCTTGAATGTCCACGATACTGGTGTGTAATGTTTGGGACCGAATTATGTGCTTAAGTAAGGAACTAATCGTTTGTTCACGCATTTGTTCTAGCAGTGAGCTTCCTTTACGACAGCGTCCAAGTGAAAGATTGTGGTCAGAATTGGTTGGGATATAAGTGGTACAAGAGTTCGATTTACCATAGAATTTCCACTTGGGGACGCGCGAAGATGTCGTGTGCGCTGGTTTGGATCAAATCCTATACACATGCCAAAGCTGACAAGCTGTATCGGGATGCTTTTCTGGTAAGGGATTACAGCCACAGATTGGCATTACCCGTACAGATCTACAAAAATGTATTATAACAGAAATGGTGAGAACGAACCGTATTAGTCGGTAAGGACGCTACAAGCACCTTTCAATTCTATCCTGCTTGCACGTGGATCTCGGGGCCTGCCTTAATGAGTTGATTTGTCGTCCAGGGGCCTTATGTAAGTATTTTTAAAGATTCAGGTACAAGCATCATATTCACATACAAAAACGCGCAAATTTAAGCGAAATCGTTTGTATCGTAGGCAGTACGTATACCTCCCATTGTAACCCCCACTGGCGGCAAGTTGAACCGAGGCGACCCGTCGTGCGAGGATCCCGGGGGCTTTGTGAGACAAAAGTAGAAAAAAAGAGGTCCATGAAAATCCCGCTCTCGTGCCAAGTCAATGCCTCAACTGTTATTCATGTTGGGTACAACTTTATGTCACAGCGATGCGGATACGCATTTCCCCACTGGGTGAACAAAACCTCGTGGCGAGGTATATAACTGCCCGCCACCTCACGGATGCAGCAACACATCAGCCAGCCGCCCTACCCTCAACGCAGGAGAAGAAAGGACGCAACGGCGACCAAAACTCTTCTCGAAGGAAAAGGTCGAGACAGACTCATGCATCTGGCGTGTCTGGGCGACAATATCTGACGCACCCAGGAGTGCCAGCCGGGACAATGTTTGCCAGGGAGGAGATGGCGATGAAGAAGCGGATGATGGAGACAAAGGAAGGAGTACAAAAACATTTGGCCAAGCGTCTAGGCTCTGCTGATGACGTGCTTGAAGAGCAAGGGGAGGACGCCCAAAATCGCATCGAACGGGGTCGAAGGACCGGGGTAGCTTCCCTGGTCGAGGAGCGAATCCAATTAAGCATGATTCGTGGAGAATTTGCCAACCTGAAACGCAGGGGGAAATTGGAACGGGAGCGCACCCCAGGCCTTGATCGTACGACAGACATATTCATGGACGTGCTGAAGCGGAATGGGGTGTTGCCCGAGTGGATCCAACGTCAGAAGCGGGTGCAGAGCATGACCCGATTGCTCCAGCGTCGGCTTCACGTGGAGTATGCCCGCGCCTGCATGGACGCGAACCCAGAGCTGGAATCAGCCGCGAGAGATGTTCCCTTCGTCCGTACCCCGACGTACGAGGCCTTTTCGGCACGAGTCCATGGTGTACGCTCTATAGCCGAGGACTGTGCGGTGATCAACAGCGAGATCCTGACATACAATCTGCAAGGTAATTCGTGGCATGTCTCGCGTGCATGTTAGCCTATTGAAAAACTGTTCGGGTGTCTGTGAAGGTTTTAGAAAGATGTAGTAGTATAGTATTGGCATTGTCTGCGAGGTCTTCACCCCCTTGGATCCCTTGTTTTTACCCTGACAGTCCCTGCCCTCCATTTGCAACGGCTCAAGCTCGACTTACAGCCGTTGATCGCGGAGGCCGCGCTACAAAGGCCGAGTAGCTATCAAGAGGCACGGCAACTGTACCGGTGCGCGGATCGAGAGGGACTCCTGGGTGTGACGGCTTTGATGGAGCATCGACTTGACTATTTTTCGGACGATGGTTCCATGTATCAAGGGGGGGGAGGGTCGAACATCACGACGTACTGGCAAGACCAGAATGGGTTGGGGAGAGGAAAGAGCGGGAGAAAGAGGCGAGATGAGGCCAGCCAGCACATCTCGGACCTGATGATGATCCCTATCGACTCCTTGTCCAGAGCGCTCGCCCGACTGTTTTCAATATGACCGGCACGCCTTTGATCTGTATCGTACCCCAGAAAAAAAGACTTGCGCAGGACCGGAGCAAGACCAGTTATTTCTTTGACAACTGGCCTCCTACCATTACCATCATTCAAACCCCCCCCTTGTTTCCCGTAGCCCACCGCCATTTGGATTATGATTTTGCTTCGATGCCTGCCCTCGCGGCCCCATCTTCTCTGTCCCACACACCGGCCCCAGACCACGCCCAGAACCGTCACAGGCACTCCGATCCAAGATACCGTGGCTTCTGATAGGTTCATGTCCCGTTTACATCGTCACATACGCAGGGGATGTTGACCTATCAGGATCTTCCGCTGGCCACCCGCTCGTGTCAAGCCAGTCTCACGCGTCCTCCCCTTCCTCGGTAAAGTGGTGCTTGGCCTTCTCCCGGGACCGACGATTTCTGGACCGTGTGGTGGTCCGCCACCGACCCAGCTCGCTGTTCTTAGCCACCACGCTCCGTTCCACGGGCACGTCGAAGGCTGTGGGGTCGAGGTCAAAAATGTCGTGGATGACGGTATTTTGGGCCAAGGCCGTTAAGAAGCCCCCCTGCAGGCAGTCCCGGAGGGCCTCCACTTGCTTCATCTTCACCCACGAAGTCAAACGAAAACTCCGAGTGCGGTAGCTAATCACTTCCTCGGGACGTTGGCCGTCGACCACTGCCGAGCAGATCTCGCGAAAAGAGGCACGTTGGGCCTTTTTGTCCTTCCGACTCATGCGCTTGCTCCCTTCCCGCGCCATGTCCTGGAGCCGGTCCACAATGCTGTCCACCACCTCCTCTTCGTCCGCCGAGACGTCGTGCACGGCCAGCCCTTCCTGCCGCCAATGTTCGCGAAGCAAGGCAATCGCCTCGCCCGCGGCAACCCGCAGGTCCGCCGAGGACGCATCCAAGAGAGGGAGGAAGTTTTCCAGTAGGAGGGCTCTAGATTCGTGGGTATTGTAGCCTCTCGGCGCCACCGTAAAAAGCAAGGACCAGGCATCTACACCCGCCGCTTTTAGCTCCTCCGACGCCCGCCCTCCCTCGCTCTCCCCGGTGAAGAGGGCTTCAAAGAAGGCCAAGTGCGCCAGTGTCCTCTCCTCCTCCGTGTTGCATATGAACGACCCCAGGGCCAGGGCGCGGGTGGCTTCGATCCGCATCCTTTCCGACTGACCGCGGGTTATCACAAATTCCAAAGGAGCTCGGACAAGATTGAATATTTCGTCCTCCTCGGGCCCTATTAACAGCATCATCATGCCCAAGGCCTCTGCACACAACACCCCCTCCGTTTCTCGGGAACGCCGGAGCAGTCCCACTAGGCTCGAGAATACCGACTCACGGTTGGCAATGGCCTGGTCCACGAATGTGTACGATCGAAGACCCGCTATAAGCTCCCGCAAACAATCCTCTCGAGCCGTCGTCCTCTTCTCATTCAGCTTTTCAAGCAAGTCAGCAAAATCACCGTTGTTCCTACTTGACGCAGCTGCACCAGCTCCTGGCGCCGTTGTTTCTTCGACACCAGCTGGTGTGGAAGCCTCGAAGGTTTCTTGTGAAAGGAAAGACATGTCTGAAGCCACGCTTTCCCTTTCATCATCGCTCGTCAGTCCACCTCCCCTGCCGGCACGTCTTTGGGCCGCCGCCAGTGCACGCGCACCTGCAGATTCGCAAAATAAGAAAGTTGTCACTAATTGGAGGACACCATCCCTTCAAACTTCCTACTTACTCTTCTTGCCCATATCTTCTCTGCCTGAAGTAAGTGCAAATAGTTGTAGGCGGGACGCGGGAGATGTGAGGTCGACGGCTTCACTTGTGCACGGCCTGTCAAGTTTTTTTTTAAAAATCGAATGAGCCCCATCAGAGAAGTAAGAAGTTTCAAGTGTTATCAAAAATCATTTTCCTCGTCAAACGATAGTTATCTAAGCGCTTGAAAAGCCACAAAGGGGATATAGACATACAACAAAGCGTAGAGCATGTTGTACGTTGCAGTACGTTGTTGGCTCGGCCTTGCCCTTCTTCGAGTTAAAAAACTTAAAAAGACTTTCTTCCAATCAATTTCACATCCGAATTTGCGTCAGAAAATTTTGTCGAATTGGATCCAATACGCACCAAATATAGGGCTTATTCCTTCCTTCCTTAGTGCCCACAATATCAATGTGCATCGCTTGCCCGTTCCGATCTGTCCAAGAAGGCCGCCACAATCAGCTTAATGAGCGGTGTTTGGCGCCGATCTGGCCCGTGTTTTGATAATTTCGCTCATCTTACGTGTCTCAAGCTCCGACACGTAAGATAATCGGAGGAGGGACAGAAGGGGGCCGTAGGTTCCAGAATATCAAGGGAACAGCTGTGCACGAATACGTCAACTTTTCTACGCAATGAGGAACAGGGAGACGAATGAAAGCGAGTAAAAGCAAACTTGCGGAAGCTCCAAGTCATGAGACACTGTCTTGTCGCGCCAAAATGGTGCCAGTACACATGTGTATAAGTCATTAAAAGCGAACTGTAAAGAAAAAGATAGGTGGGAAAAGCCGTACTGAGGCGGGCTTTTGCCCGAACGCATACATGACAGTTTTGTCGCCGCGCCTTAGTCAAACATCTTCGGGGACGGTCAAACGAAATACGCCCAGTGCTACTCGATCAAAAAATAAAAAACCGTCCTGTGTGTGTATGCCGAACCAAACGTGCCTCCCCAAGCTATTTTTGGCTCAGGCTTTTGACTTGAGCAAACACTTGAGTCATGTCCGTCACAGGGGCCCGGGCCGCATCTTCCGCCGTCCACTGCTGCGAAAAAGCCAGGGAACTCTTCACCTCGAACGTCAAATCGGTCGCCTCCGGACACGCCAAGGCGTACACCGCCAGACGTGCCACGTCATCACGGCTCACCTTCCCTTTGATGGTATCCCCTACGTCCACCTCCAAGGGCATGTTGGCCGGCTCTTCGGTCAGGGCGCAAGGCCGAATGATCGTGTACGGCAGACCACTGGCGCGAATCGCCTCTTCCCCCTTGAGCTTGTAGGTGAGGATCCCACCCAGCATGTCATTCATGCGCACGGCGGGCGGTTCCTCCTCCAAGACGACCCCCGGCCGCCCGGGTCGCTCCACCCCCGCCGAGGAGATGTGGACGAATCGAGGAGTCCGAGGGGCACTGGGGCCCATGTAGGCCTCGATCGACTGGATGACGAGCTTGAAAGGTCCGTCCTTGTACGTCGGGTTCACCTCTCCGTCGTAGGCAAACTTACTCAGCATGATCTGGATGGCAAAGATTTGATCCAAGCGAAAGGCTTGACGTTGGTCCGCCGGGATGCTCCGTGTCCGGGCCACAGGTATCAAGGACGTGAACGGCACGTCCAAATCTGCCCATTCCCCCGCCTGAGTGGGCACCATGGTGCTCCAGGAAGGTCCGTCCCACTGGTCTGAGTCGCGCAGAATGATCTTATAGGTATTCCCGTCCCCCAAGACTCGCAGGCGCAGGCCCTCATAGCCCGTCAAATCCAAGGGCGGCTCCAAATTCCGGGTCCGCACGGACGTGAACCCCCCGCTGGCAAAGCCCCTCTCAGTAGTCACCATCCCTTCAAACACCCCAGCGATTCGGCTCGGGCTGTCCTCGTTCCCGGCCTCTCCCGCCCCCGGTACCAAAGTGAATTTCGAATCCGAGGTGCCCCCCATCACCACGTCGTCGAGGGACGCGAAGTCTTGCCAGCGGTCTATGAATGCCGGCGCACAATTGTACAATTTCTTGCAACCCTTCACATCCGCGTACTTGCTGGCGGCGGCCAAGACATTCTTCACGCCGACAAAATCGGTCTCCTCGGGCGAGTCCAACGTCTCCGGTTCGTAGAAGACAATGCCTTGGTAGTACTTCGCCCGGTCCTCCGAGTCGCCGGACTTGGGTTGCACGATTGCCGCCGTGCATCCGATTACGGCGGTCACGCCCTCCATTAACTCGGGCGTCAGGGCTGCGGGGTCGCGGATGTCGGCATTGACAATTTCTAACAAAGCCCCCGGCTCTGGCTTTTGCCCTCCATTCAACATGGCCAAGGCCTTCTGTTCATTCCGGGCCAGGGCCCGGACACGTATCCCCTTTTCCAACAGAAGGCTGACCACGCGGCGGCCGACCCCACCCGTGGCTCCCGTGACCAGAACGATCCCGTGCCCTACGGGCAAATCAGCGCCTAATTGCGGGGTGACCGTCGTAGCCGTGGCAAGTCCAACTCCCCCGCTCGTCTTCTTCTTCCGTCGCCCGCTCAGGAAACGTGGGCCGTTGAAGGAGAGAAATGTCCGGAGGGCACGGCCCACGGGCTGTGGTGCGAAGATGCAAGGCGTGGGGGTTTACAGTGAGGGGCGTACCAATGCGACGGGCCTGGTGGCACGCTCTGGGACAACATATCGTCCGGTGTAAACGCTACACAAGTCCATACACGCCTGTATGGTATGCTTGAAGGACACGCACGTGATACGCCGTCGTAAGAACGCATGTACACCCCACTTACCCATCCTTTTTTGGAGGACGAGCTTTCTTGCATGACCATAATGCCTTGACGTGGCCGGCCCCCACCCAAACCCCGTGCAGCATGCGACGGCTGTGGAAAAGGGCGCATAAATGCAGTGCATGGTAGCAAATGGGACGTTGCCAAGGTGAGAAGGCAGACGATGAAAGCTTGCGCCATCATTTTGCACCCCATGGAGCCTGAGGAAGTGGCTCCTGACGGTACGGGGAGGTAAAATTGATGCGGCAGAGCCTGGTACCGTGTTGTGCGTGAATATGGACTCAAATTAGAAAAAGATCTCGTAACAAACATTCGTCCATTCCAACAACAAGGCGCACCTCGGTTCGTCAAGGGCACAGGGCCATGGGCAGCTTGCCGCGTTTTTCGACTAGAACGCGTAGCGATATGTTCTTTTTCGGGAGGAAATTACGAGACAGTCCGTCGGGCTGTTCGCGTTGCGTACCAGGACAGGCATGATTTTTATTGCCGCCGTGGAAAGATGCCCTCGTTTTGACATGGTGTCCCCACCGCGGGTCGTGCCTGCATCCGAGGACACAACCTGCTCAGGGGCACAGCACGTTTTTGGTTTGTTGCCCGCCCGTGGGCACATTGTGGAGCCCCGATCTTGATCCCCGCCAAGTCAGCGAGGCTGGGGTGGCATGGTCATTTCTTTGGAGGTGTTTGAAGTCACATCTAATCACGTCGAAACGACCACACTTTCACGGCATTCACAGGTTTAAAGCATGCGAGGACGAGGCCTGGACGTGGGAGTGTTGGCGGTGTTTTGTTTGTGCCTAGGGGCTGTGCGGGCATTTGTTGTCCCTGTGACGCCCGGACTTCACCATCTCAGCCGGAGCAGCAGCATAGGACCCAGCACTTGTCTTCCTTTACCTTCCTGCGTTCCACCTGCCCGTACATCATGTGTATCTCGCCGGTGGGTGAAGACGCAGGCCAAGGACGAGGAGATTGCAAACGCGAAAGAGCACCGTTCCTTTGCGCCTGTCACCTCTTTGGAGACCCTCTCTGAGCATGACGCGGCCGACACACCCCGTTCGCTACAGGAGCGGGTGCGTTTGTTCGCAGCCACGAAGGGAGTGGATTCTCGCCAGCTGAATTTTTTGCTGAACGTGGGCCTGATATCCGCTGTCGCGGCGCTCGTGTTGGCGAAGGTGGTCACCGTGGATCTGGACGTGTGGCGCGGCTGGACTCCCGCCGAAATCTTCACACGCATTCCCCTAGACAACTGGGACGGGTACATGAACGTGCTGAGCCTGCATCCTGTCTTCGTCAAGGCCGTGACCAGCGGCTCCGTCTACACCCTGGGGGATGGGGTCGCCCAGCTCTACGAGGGCAAGACGTTGGGGGAAATCGACCGCGGCCGCGTGGCTCGTTCCGGTATCGCGGGCTTCGTCGGGCACGGGCCCCTCTCTCACTGGTGGTACGGAGTGTCGGAGGATTTTTTCGGGTGGCTGGGCTGGGAAGGATGGTGGACGACCTTCCCGAAAATCACCGTGGACCAGCTCGTGTGGTCCCCGATCTGGAACGGGTGCTACATCTTCCTCCTGGGGGGCCATGAAACGGGAGGCGCTGGGCGAGATCGTGAACACGGTCAAATCTACCTCCTTCTCGCTCATCACCTCCGGTCTGAAGCTCTGGCCGTTGGCGCATGTGGTCACCTACGGCGTCATTCCCGTGGAGAACCGGTTGCTGTGGGTAGACCTGGTGGAGATCTTGTGGGTGACGATTTTGTCGCGGGAGGCGGCCAACGCGGACGCGGAGAAAGCGGAGGCGATAGGAGACGTGGCGGTAGAGGAAGCCTCCTCCAAGACGTTGGCCGTGGTGGACAGTGAGACGATGCAGGCGCCGAGTGCCCGTGCCGCGGGTGACGACATGGAGCCTGTGATTTTCATGCCGCTCGCGTCGAATGTCTCTGACCTGGAAACTGAAGACGGCCAACTACGAGACCATGCAGAACACCACCCCGAGCAGGAGCAACAGAGGGCAGTGTCTGTGCACAGAGAGGATGAGTTCGTGTAAGAGGGGGAGGGGGGGTGCATCGGGATCTTCACGTCCACTGTGTGTGGGGCGTAAGGATAGCCTGGTCGCATTTTTGTATAGTCTGATGATATTCTTTAGGGCGGCAAGAGCGTAGACATATGTAGATAGCATGAAACCTCCGGTAAGCCTCTTTCTTGAAGGAGCTGATACCGACAGGGGTAGGCCGTGAGAACCAGCCAGGGACCACTCTGTCCTCCTATCCTTTCGCGCAATGTGAAAGGCAGTCGTGGTAGGTAGAAGGAGGCGGAGAGTGTAATATTTTGTTGGTGTGGTATGTGAGGCCGTAACAAATTTTAAATTGCATAGGAAGCGACCCTCGGGGTCCAACTTCGCGCGTAATGGCTGTCTCGATTTAAAGTCGACCGGGAGGTTTGACACACTTAGCGTCGCGTAAGAGTTAATTAAAAAAATTAAGGAAAAAATAACGGGCGACATAAAAATATCATCGAGAAGTATGTTTTGGTCGCTTGACCATCCATAGTTTCTTGAAGCGGTGCTCTCCCCATCCAAACCGCCCTGCTCTCTTTTGACACGGCTCAGCCGCTAGTTGTTTTTACACGGTCGTATGCCCATTCGATCCATGGCAACAATCTTCGGATATCTTCCGTCTCGACGGTCGGTCCCCCCCATATCCGCAGTCCGGGGGGTGCTTCACGGTAGGAGGCGATGTCGTACGCGACGCCCTCCCTCTCCATCAACGCAGCCATCTCCTTCAGTCTGTGTCTTACCTGTGAGCCTCCTCCCCTTGCAGTGCTTCCTGCCTCCTCCAATCCCTCTATCCTCAAGCATATGCTCGTGGATGATCGGATGCGAGGATTCGAGGCCAAGAAAGAGAGCCAGGGCTTCTTCGCCACGAATGCCTCCACCGCCTCGAGATTCGCCCGAGTCCGGGCAATCAAAGCCGGCAGGCCGCCTTTTTCCTGCGCCCATTGCAGGGCATCCAAGTAATCCTCCACGCAAAGCATGGAAGGCGTGTTGATCGTGGAGCCGGTCCACAGACCTTCGGGCACGGTGCCGGTGGAGGGATCGGGGGCAAGGCGGAGAAGCTTCGGGATCCCTCTTGCGGCCAGAAGCCCAGAACGACCGTTTTCCTCCAAACGTGCCAGAGCCCGCGGAGAGAGCACCAGTATTCCGTGCGCTCCTTCCCCCCCTAAAGCCTTCTGCCACGAGAAAGTGGTTACGTCCAATTTTTCCCAGGGCAACGGCATGCAAAAACACGCCGACGTAGCATCGCACAAAGTTAGGCCACGACCCTTTCCTGCACCAGAAGGAGGGATCCAGGGTGCTCCATCGTCAGGAAGACAGACGCCACTGGTGGTCCCGTTGTAAACAAAACAGACGTCGTTCTCTCCCGCGCTCACTTGGGACAAGTCCGGGAGCTCTCCATAGGGCGCCGAGACCAGCTCCACCTCCTCCACTTTTAATTGAGTCGTCAAGTCGTCGTACCAACCTTGACCGAATGCTTCCCAGACCAAAGCTTGGACGGGGACTCCCTTCGTGCCCACCAAAGACCACAGCGCGGCTTCGAAAGCCCCTGTGTCCCCCCCCCCAGGCAACAACGCCAGTCGAAATTCTCCAGGGATACCCAAAATGTCCCTCGTCAGCTCCAACGCGCGTTGTATACGTCCCAGGCATTCACTAGAGCGGTGTGAACGACCCAGAGTATCGATGGGAAGTTTCGCAAGGTCGTAGCCCGGACGCTTTTTGGTAGGACCAGAGCTAAAATGAGGGCTGGATGGTTTCGGCATAGCAGGAGGACCCACAGGGACGTAAGCCTCAGCACAATACAAGAAGGCGATTAATAGTGCTGCTGTGATGAACCAGTTTTTGATCCATGGCTCTGATAATGGTCGGTGCGAAAGGACCATCGGGCGTTGTGTAAACCAAGCTCCTTAAGGTGCCCCTGTGTCTCAAGTGAACAGTAATCTCGAGCTGTTGGTGTGGCAGGAAGACGGAACTCTTCCATTTTCCTGATCTATAGATTTTTATTCTTGGCATTCAAATTCAGCAATAAAAATTATGAAACGCATGAGTTTTCTCAAAAAGGGGTGCTGACGCGCGAGTGTGCTGGTACATTGTTAAACATATAACGAGACTAAGCACGTCACAAGTACCAGTGCATTCCATAGACTGCAAAACTTCACCCAATATCTTATTTTAAAAAGTTTGTGGCTGGTGTGTATGTACCCTTACTCGTTCCAGACTGCTGTGGGACAGGTGAAGCACTTGTGATTAAAATCCATTTCAAGTGCTCCTGCTGCGTCAGAGTGACACATGCTTCATATCATAATTTAAGAAACAGGATCAACAACCTCTTTTTAGGGCAAAGTAATTATGTTGCACTTTAAAGTATCAAAAAGTCCTACGAGTAATTAGATTGCGTCAATAGGCCCATCTCGCTTACATGCTAATATCTGTCATGAAATCGACGTTTCATGTGTCGGATATGATAAATCATAAAGCTATCAACTCGTTGTCACACTTCACTGGAAGACGTAATAGATTGCGATGGATTTTTAAATTCTACTACTACAGAGTGAAGCTGGTAACGAAGCAACAGTAGCCGCCGGGTGGGGAGGTTAAATCTGGGCATGGTAGAGGCAAATGTACCTCGATGTTTTCCTTATTTGTCGGCATGTGCATCGTTTCTCGTCTCAACGTCAAGCCTTAAGATCGCTCATATCATTGATGAGGCATCTACGAGCCCGCAATACAATTTATCATTACGCACAAAGGGGTTACTGTACATGCCTATGTCAGCCTTGGATGGTAAGGTCTGATCTGTTTATGTCACATTTGCTCAGTTTCTTCCACTCATACCCACATTTAAATGTTGTGCACATAGTTGGTTAATGTGCTATGATCCTCCATGGGACCCAAATGCAAGAGACACAACATAATCCATTTTTGGAAAAAAGGAAGACAGTGATTGCGCAAAAATCATTCATTATTTTCTTTTTACGATACTACCTCCTAGTGCCAGTCCAATGTATGACTCAGACTATTTTTTAGGCCTAGCTCTGTATATCGGCGCGTGGCGAAGGCTTTTCCGCTTGCCTACGAATTTGAGATGCTGCGTTTCGTGCATACATCTTTCCTTTCAAAAAGGTTTTTGTGTTTATTGCCTCCACGATAAAATTTCTGATACATCAGCTCCCATTGTCTCTCTTTCCCACGCGAATTCCCACACCTCCAACGTACCCAAGCGAACTTGAAAGCTCACTTGTTCTTCGATACTTCCTCGAACTGATTTCCGAGGCTGTTTGCCGCAAACAGCCAGGCAAAGATGACAATATAGAAGAGACCCACCACCACTGGAGCCCCATCGATGATATTACCAAAGAAGAGCACAATGGCCTGCTGCAAGAGAGCCCCTCCGCTCTTTCCGATGCGGGCTGCCAATACGTCAATGGCCGCCTTGCCCTTGGTTTTCTCCTCTTGACCGAGAGGAATGTACGCCATTTCCTTCGTCGGGTCAAACAGGGCGTATTTGATCGATTTGGAGAGAATGTTTTGCACTAGACCCACCCACACAGCCGTCTGCAAGGCCTTGGGTGAAGAAGCCCCTGTACTGGATATTCCCCCGAAGACGATGTACCCAAAGAAGGGCGCCGCCAGGAGACCCAGCATGGCGGGCGTGGTCAGGGCCCCCACCTTCATGCCAAAGCGTTTCACGATCTGTGACCCGAAAAAAATGACGATGAAGGTGGTAGCCCCCATCATGGTCGAGTAGTTACCCATGAATTGCTGGTACTTGCGCTTGTCCTTGTATAGGAGCTTCACTTGACTCTTCCACATAACCTGTGGAACGGGAAGAAGGACCAAGAGGGAATAAAAGTGACGACACACACGGAAGTGGGCACCCGGGGAGGAGACAGGACCCTCATCCATCTCACTCTCAACGCCGCCCCCCCCCCCCCCCTCACCCCCGGCCGCCCTCCCCTCAAGCGTACCTCCGTAAAGTTGATCGCCAGACCGTACGACACTACCAGAATAGCCATGCATCCAAGGTATTTGTTCGTGAGCAGGAACTTGAAGCTCTCTGCCAAGCTCATCTTGGGCTTCTTCTTCCTCTTGCTCGCCACCGCGGTGGTGCTTGCCGAGGTTTCTCCCCCAACGGCCAAGGCCGCCGCGTCCTCCCGCTCCACCAGACCTGTGATTCCTCGGTACAAAGACATGATTGCCGCTCCACTTATCATGATAAAGACGGTGATAAGCTGGATGCTTTTCAAGAAAGGATCCTTGCTAGCAGGGTCCGTCATATGGGCCGAGAGCACTACTGTTTGACCGGCGGCAATCGGGGCGATGTTGGCGAGCTGCCCAAATAGCGGATAAAAGCGCTTGGCCTCGTGCACCTTGATGATCTCGTTCGCCAGCTGCCAAAACAGGACCGACACGCCCACGCTCCCAAAGAGCTCCGAGACAATGTAGAAGAGGGAATAGTCCCAGTTTTTGACCAGAGAGACGAGGAAGCCGAGGCCTCCCGCTTGTGCGTCGATGTGAGGCATGAGATGGGCACGATTGGGGTAAATGAGGGTGCAGAAGGCAGCATAAAAGAGGAAAAAAGGGACCGAAGTGGCATAGAAGAGGGCCTTCTTCCCCAAGACGTTGGAGGCCTTGGCGTAAAGGATCATGAAGAGGGCGGAGGCCGGCAGTACGCCGTAGACCTTGAGGAAGGTGATGGCTTCGGCCCCACAAGTGGAGACGATCAAGGTATCCTTGGTATCGCGGACCACCGTGTAGACGTAGATGATGAAAAACATCATACCGCTCATCATAAAGAATTTTTGGCATTCCTTGTTTTCGATGGGGAAGACTGCAGCGCGAATCTTACCGAACCGGGAACGCACCACGTCGCGTTTTCTGAGAGGGATGGGGGGGGGGGGGAGGAGCGAAAAGGAGATAAGCTTTGAAACACAAGCTTTCCTTGATGAGCGCTGCTCTGGTCATGAGGGAAAAAAACAGCCTTCAACCCATTATTCAAGTCCTACCGGCGACGTGGTGGCTTTATGGCCTCAGCGATATCCTCTGCCAATACCGGAGCAGTGGCTTGGTGAAAGTCCTCTTCTGAAGAAGCAATATCAGCGCCATGGTCTCGGGGGTCTGCTTGTCTGCCCTTGATGAAGCGTTGAACGAGGGCAGTGCCTGGTAGCTTGGGCAAAGCCCCGTGTGATAAATTACATAGTATAGCAAGGCTCAACAGTAGATAAAATCCCTTGCATCGCGATACGGCCGACATCATCGCCCTGTTTTGCCTTTGCCACGATTGCGGAGGGGTGGAATTAGAAGGATTCGCGAAGGTGGAAGGAAGCAAAGCAAGAAAGGCATCGTTGGTCAGAAAGCGGGCACGGAAAATTCTTCGTGTCCACTTATTCACGTCGCACAGAAACATAGTGAATGTCCACAATTTACTCATTACCAACAATGCAGTGAATGTTTCTTCCCATATTACCCAAGGTTTCGCGCGGGTTGCACTTGACTTGGCCCGGTTGTTTGAAGGGCCGTCCTCGCCTCCGATGCTGACGCACTTCTAGCGATCCGATCTTCAAAAATCATTATTCACATCTCGTGGTTTTTAACCTTTGCTTGTTCTGTTTTTGGGAGACTTTTGATGGTATTGTGTCTATATAAGAGATGTGATCACAGGCCAATCCTACCGCTGGTGACAAACGACAACAGGAAGAAACCAGAATGGTCGATCTTCCGGGTTATGTTCCATCTTTTCCTTCATTTTTCACAAATGGCTGTTTTAACAGAATTTCGACACGCTCGCATATGCATAGCCCATCGAAGGACGTTGTGGTGGATTTCTTTATCACCGGGGCTCGCCAAGTCTACGAACATATTTTCGTCAACGTCTTTAATTACAACCTCACTCCATCCACCTTGCTTCGATTCGTGGTCGTTTTTCGCCCCCGTCCCCGACAAGAAAGGCATCACGCACAAGTCCAGAAGCTCTCGTATCATACAATCATATAGCTCATCCTCGTCGGCAGAATTCTGTCGGGAGCTTTGCAGGCCAGGCAGGCGGTTAATTTCCATGAGATACATGCTGTCAAACTTGTCGAGGTGCATCATGTCCTCTGGCGCACACGCCGCTTCGACTGGCAGATAATCCAGGCCAAACAACTCAAAATGGCCTGAGGATGCCTGTCAAATGGTGAGATATGTGGCACAATGAGTGAGTGAGTGAGCTTGTAAAGCTGTGCAAGACGGGGTACGGACAGGCACGTGCATGCGATTTATCGTCTCCGTCATTTTTGCGTCCCTTTGGGGCTTCAAAGTGCCTGACAAGATTCAGTGGCGCACCTGTGCCCTCAAAAAAGGTGCTGCTGCCCGCACGACTGCTGCCCAATGAGCTTTCATGCACCCAAAGGTACGAGGGGCCCGTGCCAGGTCGATGGGAAGCTGACCAGGGTACCCAGGACAGTGCTTGTTCAACGACAAATTCGTTAAATGGGCAGCCGCGTCAATCTCGTTAGCCGATCCGCATTTTGTGGCATGATGGTACCTTTCTGAGGCCCTAAGGATAAAGCCATGCTGATATATCCAAGGCTGGAAGCGTGCCCTGCGTGCTTCTCTGTCCACAGACGTGCGTCCGGTCTCCTCCACCCCTGTCATCCGCAACAAAGCGTAGACCCGATAGTGAAATTTATATTTTTTTTCTAGCAATAAAGGTCTGGTGATGTAGCGTTGGACGACGTACGAGTCTAGAGGTCGCAAGGCGATACACGCGGGGACATGAGTGCAGGCCGGGGGCAATACATGAACGTCTCCTCCGCCATTAGCGCCAGCGGCCTTAAGAATCCACCATTCCTCCGCGTCCTCGGTGCAATCTGTAAATACGGTGTAATTTGCGTTTTGTACTGTCCGTAATTGTCTTCGGCGTGCATCAAGCCAGGCTTGGGCATCCATGGCTCGAACTACTGCGGTCTCCAGAACGGGTATGTCCTGATTTTGGCTGGATACAAGCGCTAGAATGTGAGAGAAGTATGCCTTATTTTCCAGGATAACAGTGTTGGAAAGACGATTGAGAACACGGGCACAATCATGAAGGGGCTTATCCCGACGCGCGACATGGGTCTCCCAGACGAAATCAAGGGGGACAGGAGGATCAGCCTGATTACATGCATTTTGACATCTACCAGCAATCCTGCGATGTCGAAAACGAAACGAACGAAAACGTTTGAGTCATTTCTCGTTTTGGGAAAGATGGAATTCGTGATTTGCTCGGGTTATAAAGGAAACATTTCGCGATGCACCAACCTCCCTCCTTCGCGATGCTCACCAGTGCACTTCAGCCCTCTCCTGCAGCAAGGGAACAATCCGCGCTTGCGCCGCAGCGCCAGTGATGCGATATATCAAATGTGTTGGATGCAATTGCTGGCATGATGAGGAAGGACGGATGCTGTTTTCTCTTGTTGACATAAAGGAAACCTTGCTGGATAAAAGGTGGGCACAAGCTGAAGGTCATCGTCATAGTTGTGAATGTTTATGATGGAGAGTATTGATGGATGCAGGAAAAATATTCAAGCAAAGCCTTCAACAACTGTGAACTGTCTATCACTACCGAGTACCGCCCATATCGCAATCAAAGGCCTCCAAAACCTTCTAGACCCCTTTTGCTCGCCCATCTAGCCTGTCGGATCGCCAGCGAAAGTATGGTGAGAGGATACTCGCCGACTTGGGTCCGCAACGATACGTCGAGGGAGCTTGGTGCCGATTTCGGTCGAGGGAGCGTATACCGCTTCCATGTCCACAACAATTCGTCGAGAGGGCTTGTGCCAGTTTTGGTACACAATGATCCGGCGTCCTGAAAGGTTTTAAGCGAAGATCCTTCGGGACGCCAAATCGCCGAGTTCTCGGTCCGTGGGCCGGAAAACAACGGAGGGCTAGGTCCAGGAAATTACATCGCGTTGCATATGTCCTCCAAGCCTCCACATGTATGGCTTAAATTATTTCCTCCATTTTGTCGGATTTAACCGTCATTCACGAAATATTAGATGGCTTGATGGACAACTGATGTTTGCGATTACGATCAGTCGAGAGGCACACCCGTCAACGGTGAAAGGGCAAACGGCCCATATGTGGGGATACAATCGCTCCAAAATTGTTAAGTGGACGAACGCATACATCAACTGCTTAATTAAAAGGTGGATAATATCTCATATCGGAAGTCTTCCTCGTATCGGTGGTCCTCATTCATCATCCCGCTTGACAGGTGCTCCTACCTCCTCACGAATTTCTCAGGAGATCCACCATGGCCCCAGCTAGTGCTATTGCTGTATTAGATAGAACGACCCTTGGACAGAAGGCCGTCTTGTACCGTGAACCTATCGACTCTGCCTGTTTGAAGGACAAGCACCAAAATTGGCGCGGTGACGCGCACATTCCCGTGCCCCTCCTGCATGAGGTGAAGGACACTCTATCCACGTCAACAGACTTGCCCAAGGCTATGACTCAGCCGCCTATGATTGAATGGCCGTGTCTTCGCACTGCAAATAAAGGCAGACTACAAAAACGACTTACTTGTGTGCGAAGGCCAAAGTGGAGAGCATGAGCGCCTTCACTAGTGCGTACTATGTGCTACCTGGGAGATCGCGTGCTTCTCGAGCTTAGCCTCGAGCTTGACCAGACCTACAATGCCCGTCTGGTCCCCTATATTTTGTGATGCATCGATCCCCATTCCCATCACTCACCACTCCCCGAGCCATTCCGAGTTTCAAACATGTTCTCCAGGCACGGACACCCCAAACCGAAAGAAATACGCCTGAACTAGACATGACGTCAAGGTCAATCGCCAAGATTTTTTCTTCTTTTTTTGCTACCGTGACCCCGTCTTCGGATCACCATCTGCCAACGCCATAGCTAAGCTTACTCTGACAATTTGAATAAATCAACCTTTGTATGTGTCACTCGGCGGCGCGCGCCGACCCTTGATGGTCGCTTGTTTCGGTTATATTCCAAGACACGCACACGAACACCTCTACTTGTACACCCCTGCACGAAAAAGTAAAATACATCCCTCACAGCAATCTTACGATTCCGATGGCCTTGTTTGTGACGTAGGCTCTCCATCCTTTTTATTGACCAGCAGGGACAAAAAGACACACCACCCCAGGAAGGCGACGTTCACGAACAAGACCCTGAGGTCGGGGGGGACAAAGGCATAATTCGCGCAAGTAATGGGAATCCATACCCACCAGTTGGTTGTAATGCACGGCCAGAAATCCCGCTTGATTTGTGCCTTAGTTTCCTCCAGGTTTTTCCCTTCTAACAAGTCCAAATAGGCGAAAATGACCACTGTGAAGATCGGGGCTTGGATACCTTGATCGAGGGCAACCTTGAGCACGTTCGTCAGGCTGATGGGGTCGGAGGGCGGGGGAATCAGATGGTCGAACCACTGGAAGTAGTAATGGTTCCAAATGGGCTGCAGTGTCGCTCCGAAAATGAGGAAGCGCAGCACGCGCTTCCAGTCGATTCCTAAGTCCTCTTCCTCGTCGTTTCCTTTTGCCCCGGTCTGCTTGGCCTTGTATGTCTCGATTGCTTGAGCCGAGAGATCACCTAATGGTACAATCATAGCACTTGTTGCACATTTCGTAATCAAAGGGTGTGTGTGGATAAGCCCCATGTAGCCTTGAAAAAGGTCGTTCGCGTCCACAGCCGACAGCGCTCCCCGACTGCGACTTGATCGTCGAATCACAGGACGCAAACTCTGACGAGCAGGCGTGAAAAACGCCTGGCTGCCGCCAAAGAGTAGAAGAAGGACGGCCGCCATCCTCAACAAATGAGCGTCTCTTCTCGTGTGTGTGGTCATTTTCTGTCGAAATAGATGTTTGGTTCGACCCAGCGTGAGACTGCATGACAAGAAAACATTTTTGCCGAAACATGAACGCTCGAAATCAGTCCTCAGCAATACTCGAATGTGATTACCGTAGAATACATATGATCACACTAATGTTTCTGGGATGGAAACGCGCACACGGGAACCAATAGGCCAGCCCACGGTATTTTTCAAGCCCACGTTGCATGCTCGCAGGTCATACGTGGTTGTGTTCCACGATAGATCCGATCTTCTCACTGACGACAGATCCGATCTTCTCACTAGCTCGAGACATACTACTTCCGCCGTGCGACAAACACCCTTGGGATTTGGGTATGGCTTGACCCTGGCGGTTTACTACAGGAGATGCCCTTTTTTTTAAAAAAAAAGTGAAATGCTGACTTAGGCGATGCTCATGATTCTCGTTCTTTTTCCTATCTATTTCTACTTTCATGGTTACCACGAGGGCCGGGTACCCCTATCTCTTCCGGAACATGGCACGAAAAAGCTGCTTCGCATGTAACAAGCGTGATGTATGCATATTTTAATCACTTTGTAAATATTCGAACTGATACGCGAGGAAAATTAGGCTTCATAGTGGAAGGCATTGTCGTCATCCTCTCTTTCCTCTCTGTGGTATCATATAATCACTGGTAATGCGTACATGTCTACAAAGTTTGCTCCGATTCTCCTGGAAATGTCTTGCACAATCCTCCTCTGACTATGTGCTTAATTTACAATTTTTCCGCCACATTTCTTTCCCAAGCCGTAAACGCCCCTTTTCCTTCCCTTTCTTCACACCTTCCTTCCTCTGGTGCGCATGCCACCTTCGCTTTCCATCAGCATCGTGATGTCACCCTTCAGGGACAAATTCTTCTCCTACTTTTTCCGGCGCCGGGGCTTTCTTTGTCCTCCCCCTTGTCCTTGCCCCTTGGAGCCCCGTTCAGTCCAACTGGTGCGTCGCGGCGCCGAAGGAAATGGTCCGGAGGGTGATGCGGAGGATTCCTCGGTCGGAAACGGCGTGAAGGTAGGCCCGGTGAAGGCATCGAATCCCTTGAGCCCCACCTCTCTGTCCACATCCGCGCTTGTCTCCTTTTTTCCTCCCTCCTCAGGCCCTTCTAAACCCCTCCCGGTGGAGTCGCCCCTCAGACTCGCCGTCGCCGCCGTTCCGCCCCCCTCTCCCCATGACAACACCCCTCCCCCCCTCCGTTCCCATCACCCCGAGCTCCTGGAAGAAAACAGGCCACGTGTCCGCCAGCACCTGTCGGAGCTTCCCCATGTCTTCATCCACCCCGGCCTCGACCAGGCGGCTCTGTGGACGCGGGGTCGACGACTGTTCCGTCTCGAGCTGGGGGACGGTCGACGCCGACAAGCGCCCGGGTTCCCGGTCCACAAAAGGGGCGTCTGCCATGCCCTCCCCCACTCGGCCCTGGGCATGTGCCTTCCAGAGAGCTCGGGCCTCCGAGGCCGCTTCTGCTACCGCCTCTGCCGCCAGATCGTCCATCCCGCTTTCGTGCGCGTACCAGGCGCTCTCCTCAGCGGCCTTTTCGCCGTCTCCCCAGCCCTCCTCCTCCTCTTGTCCCGGGTCTCGCCCGTCCCCCCTCCCTGCCTCCCGGGTCCTGTCCCTCTCCATCTCTCTCTCGGACCGAAGCGCCACGCCCGCCGGCCCCCCCACCAAGCCCATGCCCGACCCGCGCGGAGGCAAGTGCCCGAACGCGTCCTGCCCTCCCTCCCTCCCGCCCTCCTTCGGTCCCTGGGACCCGTCTTCCCCCAAACGTGCCGTCGCAGAGGCCGTCCCTGCCGCTGCCAAACCCGCCGCCGCCATCCACATCAACCCGTCCTGCCCCTCCACCTCCCCTCCCTTCCCCTCCTTCGTCGCCAAACCCTTCCGCTCCCCGTCCGTCCTCATCGACCTATCCTGCACGTCCTCTTTTTCCCGTACCTCCCCTTCCTCCCTCCTGACCTCCCACCCCACCTCCCGCCACGCCCTCACGCCCTCCCTCTCGTACAAAACCGGGTCCTTCCGCCGACTTTTGCAGCTCGGGTCGGGCAACACTACCTCCCGCATGTACACGTCTTGCTCCGCCTCTGTCGCCTCCGTCGTAGCCGGGTCCAGGACGGGGAGGGAATCTCCGGGTATCATGGCCCCGCGCATCACTTCCAGCACGTGCTGGAGGTTGTTCCCTGCCACACCGAGGGACGGGCCGCGGGACCGCCCTGCTCCGCGCCGGAAATTATGGCGCGAAATCCCACCCTCTCTCAAGTCCCAGGGGCTTCCTGCTTGTCGCCCGTCTTGTACCTCCTTCCCTTCCCCTTCCTTCCCTCCCCTCTCCGTTTCCTCCACCGCCTCCCCCTCGCCCCTCCACCACGTGCTTCTCCCTTCCCTGCCTCCTCCATCCCCTATCGACGAGGCCTTCAGGCCCCTTTCCTCATCATCCACCTCCATCCATGCTGCCCTTGGGCTGGCGAAGGCCGCGTAGTCCCTCAAACACGCCCATGCCGCACGGACCACGGTCTCCTCCATTACTCGCCCCGTCCGCCCTCCCTCCCTCCCTCCCTCCCTACCTCCCCCCCCTGGCCCTGACTGCACGTCTTCAGGCGGGTTCAGGCCCAGCGACAGCAGCCACAGGCCCATGAATCCCACTCCATCGTTGAATATCTCCCGGAGCTTGTCCTGCGTCCGGCCCCGCCCGACCCCCCCCTCTTCCTGAGTGCGCATGAAGGCTCGCTCGTACTCCCACCAGGACACCTGCATCGCCTCCTCCCACCTCTCCCTCTCCCCCTCTTTCCCTCCCCTGGCCATGCGGTGCGCCCAATTCGCCCACCAGCCGCCCACGTCCAGGCCCGCCGGTCCCCGCATGCTTCCCCCCACACTCCAGACCTGGACCTTCCCCGCCCCCCCTCCCTCCCCCTCCCCCTCCCCTCCCGTTCGGACCCACACGTTGGACATCCCCACGTCCCCCACTACCAGCGCCCCTCGGTCCTGCTCCAAGGTCCCGCCCAGACGGTCCACTGCCCACCAGACACCTTCCCCTCCTCCCTCTCCTCCCTCCCTCTTCCACCCCGCCCGGAGGACTTTTCCGAGGGCCGACTCCGTCATTCTTCCTTCCAGCCCCTGCAAAGTCTTGACCGCTGGATCCAAGAGGCGTTCGCGCCATTTCTCCCGGATCCCTTGGGCCGCCCACGGCTGCGGTCCTCCGGGCGTGAGACCCTCTCCGTGCATCAGGCTGAGTGCATGGAGCTTCCCCAACGTCCCGCCCACCAGCCTGGGCATGGTCGTCCTTGTCTCCTCTTCCGTAACGACCGCCGCGCTCCGGAACCCAGGCGTGCCGTCCAGCACCATCATCCCGTCCTCCTCCACCGCATCCACAAGCACCCGAGGGGCCAAGCCCGGCACGACCGCCTCCATGGCGAGAAAGGCCGCTCTATCCACCAGAAGAGCTGCCTGCGATGCCGCCATACCTTCTGACACATCCTGCTCTCCCAATGCCCGGGTGCATTTCACGTACAAGAGGTCTCTTTCCTCGTCACGCCCCCGCGTCTCGTAGATCCCATACACCGGGACCACGCCCCCCGGGGCCAGCAGGCGAATGCCCAGGAACTCCTCAGGAATGCCTCCCAGAGCCTCCGACAAGGGCCCACTCCGTCGCCACGCCAAGACGCGCTGCAACACGTGAGCTTGGGCACCGTGAGCGCCAGGGGGGGGGGAAGCGAAAGGAAGGGCGCCGTCGAGGGAGGTGGGCGGGTATAAAGCGGCAGGGTCCAGGGAGGGAGCGGGGAAGAAAGACGAGGAAGACGCAAAGAGCGAGTCGTGCTGTCCTCCCCTAGTGGAAGGGAGGGGGCCCTCGTCCCCCCCTTGAGAGGTCTCCCAGGTGTCGTTCTCCCCCTCCCTCTCCCGCGCTCGTCTCTCTCCCTCGCTTCCATCGTCCGGCCGCTCCTCTCCTTCTGCAGCGTGCGCCCATCTTTCTGTTTGATGGCCTCGTCGGAATTTGGGAAGATGCAAGAGCCCTCCTTTGCCAAAGGAGGCTGCCAACTCAGTACAACGACTGCTGCCTTCAAGCGGGCGGCGAAAAGAGGAACCGGGAATTTCGCCACTTGTCCTTCCAATAAAAGCCTCCACGAAAGAGTGGGGCAAAGCGAACAAAATGCAAGCAGCTATTAACATCACAAGGACGGAGTACAAAGCTTTTAATGCAGACCGGCTCGCTTTCGTGTGTCCTGATGACCCGACGTTGGCGGCGGCCATACTGTCCTGCCCGCCCCCTTTGACCCGCACGACTTGGGAGCGTCTCCTGTGCATAAAATGGCCATGCCGTGGTTAAGTCCACAAACAAAGAAAATATCCCACCGTTAAAAATATGCCTCGGGGCGATGGGACGTGCCTTTTCCAGCGTTGCGGGGGCTGGAGCGTGCTGTGGCCATATTGTCGCTGACTTGACTTTGACTTGTTCCGTCCGCTTTTTTTTCCCTCCCGCCGAGAAACCACTGCACGCGTTGCACGTTTTGTGTCAGCTTGCCTTTGAACTTTTCCACCCATTGCCTTTCACCCGTTTCCAGTCCCAAAAAGAGTGGAGGAACGAGAGGGGACGTCAACATTCCTGCGTTGTCTGTCGTCTCCACTTTTCAGTCTCTCGTTTGCGGCCGTGCCACCTTTTTTTCTCCCGTGGTGAGAGGGAATGGATGGTGGAGAGGCCTTCTGATATTTTTTTCGAGTGACCTATCAAAAAGCGACGTGATGTCTTCTCCCACCGTTAGCAAGTTCGCACTGCCCACGCATGCTCCTTTCATCATCCCTCTCACTTTATTTTGCTTGGTTGTCTGACGTGTGGGAAGTAATGTCAACCAAACGACGTCCCCAGCCGTGCGAACAAATAAAAAAGCAATGCGTGAGGTAGGCTCCTCCTCTTTCTTGGCGCGGTACTCGACCTCATCCTGTAACATCAACCTCCACAAAAGAAGTAGCATCCGCACCGTAAAATCGTTGGGCCAACAAAGCAAACGCGCGAGGTCACCTGTTATAGAGTCGGATTTCTATCAGGTGTGGTCATCGCGTCACTTTTTCAGGTAAGTGGTTCGATCATCGTCGTGCCCCCATTTGAACCTCTGATCTGTCCGGGTCCATGTCTTGTGAATCGCGGCCGATTTGTCCCTGGGAAGACAATGACAACCTTGCATTCACAATCCTCATGATTGTCTACCGTCTCTTTATTCATCGTACGTGTCGGATGCTAAGATTCTCAACCTTCCTGGCCTGTGACCGAATCCATCTCCACCCGTCTCACTGCTCCTGTATGCCCACCCGTTCCTTTCACAATCTCTGCAGCATGACCAAGCCCAAAGTCCCGCGAATGGCCATGATTTTGGCCGCCTGCTTCCAGAATTTGGCCTGCGGCGGTCTCATCTTTGGATGGGCAGCCATCTCCAGCTCCCTTCTCATCGCCTCGAACGAGGAAGGCGGGCCCGCCTTGAGCCGCGACGCTGTCCACCGGCTCTTCGTCATGGCGACGTCCATCAATTTCACGGCCCCGCTCTTGCTAGGGGTTCTCCTGGATGCCTACGGTCCCCGGTTTTGTTCCGCGCTGAGCATATTTCTGGTCGGAGCCGGCTTTGTGCTCTTCTCCGCCTCCTCCCCCTCCCTCCCCACCCACCTCCCCGCCGTCATCCTCATAGCCTTTGGCGGACCCGGCGTCCAGTCCTCCATCATCCACCTCTCCAATTTGTATCCAGCAAGCAAGGCGACTGTCACGAGCGTCATCACCGGGTCTTTTAACCTCTCCTTCTTCATCTTCTTCATTTTCGACCGGCTCTGGGACCGGTTCGGACTCACCTACCAGGAGATTTTTGCCGGCTACACAACCGTCTGCCTCTTTGCCCTCCTCCTCTCCCTCTTCCTTTGGCCGGACCGACCCTTCTCGTTCCAAGAACAAGCCCTCGAGGAAACTCTGCCCGACCAACTGGCCACGGCTCGGATCGGGCCCATTCGGGCGCCCTCTGTCTTCAAGAAAACATCCTTTGCCCCCACCGGACCCCCCCTGGCAGGCGGGTCTCGTTCCCTGCCCAGCGCCCGGGGAGGCAGCGACAGCAAGGACAAGAATGCAAATGAGACAACGGGCCTGTTGGGGGGATCGGCGGCTTTGGGCCGGCCGACGAGCCAGGGGGGAAGCTGGGAAGAGGAGGACATCAAGGAGGCATCTTTTTGGGCACAACTTCGGTCTGCGCCCTTCCTCCGGGTGACCATTTTCATCGTGGTCGCCTCCTTTTGGGCAAATTTCTACATTGGCACCATCGACGTGCAGCTGGCAGACAACCACATGCTCACCCCCGCGAAACAAAATTTCATGGTCCGCCTGTTCACGGCCATCACCACGGCGGGCGTGCTGGGCATTCCAGTCGTGGGGAAACTGATGGACAGGTAAAGCGGGGGTAAGATAGGGGACATCGGGAGGTCTAAGGCGATGTCGCGCTCCTTTGGCTTTGCCCGTGCGCACGGATGCCTCTTACGTGGTATCTGTCGGGCGTCCTGATGCGCATGTGCTCGATTCTTTGCTAACCCCCCTCCCCCCCATCTTCCTTTCTGGCATGCATCAGCTACGGCTTTGTCGCCACGGCCACTGTCACAGTGAGCATGGCAGTGGTCTATAGCTTGGGCATACTCTTTGAACAGACGCATGGGGGCACGCTGCCCCTCATCGTCGCCTTTGTCGCCTACGCACTTTTTCGGACATTCCTCTTCACCTATTTTTTTGCCTACCTGGCCGACGCGCTCGGTTTCCGGTTTTTTGGCGTCTTGGCTGGGGTCTCCTTTCTAATCGCAGGCTTTGCCGGCCTTTTGCAGTCACCATTGATGGAGTACGCCCAGGGAGACTGTCACTTGACGTCCACGGCCGTGCCTGGGTGCGATTCCGGGAAATGGCCGAGGCTGAACCTCTACCAGCTCTTGTGCCTCGCCTTGCTCTACTTGATCCCTGTTTTGGATAAGCAGGCAGCCAGCAAAGCACGAACGGCTAAGCAAGCTGGGGATAGAAGAGGAAGGGGTGGGGAAGGTGTCGTCCCCCGGTCGCCCTATCAGACGGCAAGCGGCTTGCGGCAGCAGCAGGCGACGTACATGGGGAGCTCGGATGCCAAAGGAGAGCGGCAAGGGAAGGGGGGGGGGGTTAGGTTTAGCCGAACTCATTAGAGAAGGATCAGTGGTGCTCCAGCCGACATCACTTGTACGGTCTGGCCTTATGCCTGCCTTTTCGCTCGGGACCGGTCTTTATTTTCGTGCCCCTTCCCTGAACCATGGAGGGATGTGAAGCCGCCTGCATCTATGCAGCGGCCTCGAACTGGTTGCGGTAGGGTCCGAGACATGGCTAGGGTTGGGTGTGGAATGGGTAAATCAAGCGAAAGACACAAAAGCATTCGGTAATATTCCACGAAGTGCAGGCTGCGCGGTGCTTGTTCTTCTAGGGTACTAGGGGGCCTGAATGGAACCGAAGTACCACCGTGCTGCTATGCCTCCTTCACTTATTTCTGCTGCCTTACGATGTTTTTGCACTTTTCCTTCCTGTGCCTATCCCTTAGTTGCTGATAGTTACGAGTCGCCCTGCAACATGTCGTGACTCGATTCTGCTGTCTCAGGAAAGTGAGGTCCCAAATTTGCCGAACAAGCCTTGTCCTGCGTCAATGTGACCAAAAGCGTCCGCTTTGGAACGGGCTCTGCGCGCATCTTGCTCTTTCCCCTGTTTGTGGAGCGCAGCCTTCACATCAAGCTTCATAATTTCCCGAGCTTGACGTTCCTCTGCCTCTTGTTGTTCCAAAAGTTTGGCCCAGTATGCTTGTCTCCGGTGCCATTCTTGTGCATTTTCCCTCTTCTGCTGTTTTTCCAGCGATTTATTATGAAGCAATGTCTTGTTTTCCTCCATGAGTTCCTGACGTCGCACGCCTGAAAAGCCTCTGAAACGATCGGGGATGATGCGTCCGGTTTCCCTGTTGACGCATTCGTTGACCTCGCAAAGCATAGGATCGGCCTGTATTTTCGCCAAGACAGCCATCTCTTCGGCTTTACATCGCTCTTTGTCCTCTCTTTTGGCCCGATTATGTTGCTGGATTTGAGTGGCATTGTCCAGCTGTACCTGTCGGGTCAAGATAGCTTGAAGCGCAGCGTCTTCCTTTGCCTGCTGCTCAGCGAGGGACAAAGCATGATGGAGTCGCTTATTCTCCTCTGAACATGCTTGTAGCTCAGCAGTTTCACGTTCATATTGTAAAAGCCGGTGCTCCTGTACCCATCCTCGCATTTCTGAGTGCATTTGTTTCTTTCGGGCGGCATATCCCTCGTCCTCTCCCTCTAACTTTTGTAAAGCTCCTTTCGCGCATTCAGCAGGAGGTAAGTCTGAAAAATCTACATTCTTCTTGTTTTTGTTTTGATTTCCCTTTGCTTGAAGGTCCCATTCGTTTCGGACTGCGCGTGCAAGTGCGTGCCGGGTGGCTGTTTCTTCCGCCTCTTGAGCGGCCCGCACACGTACAACTTTGGCCAAATCTTCTGCCTCACGGGCTGCAATGGCTTTTTCTATCTCTCGTAATTCTTTTTTCTTGTTGATTTGCTGCTGCAGGGCCGTCGCATCAACACTGATCGTTCGTTTGGCATTTTGTAGACGCTTTACTCTTTGCATGTCTCTTTCAGCCCTGTTGCTAAGCCGCCTCGCCTCTTTTTGTAGGTGCTGCTCTTGAAGAGCCTCCGAAGGATACATCATACTAGCTGTCAAAAAATACAATGAGGCACATTTAATTCTCTGCGAGTCAGGTTTTGAGACACAAGAAAGTGGGTATGGCACTCTTTTCACTTAAATAGAAGCATGCAGTAACGGTTCCCAACGGCTCGGCAGCCGTTCCTCTAGTTGCCAGAGGGCTGCGCAAGGTGAAAGTTTGCCTTTCCAAAAGCGAAACAACGTTAACACAACCGTGTCTCTCAAACATCTACTTAGGTCAACAAAGACAATGGAGTCGTAGTATTAGACGAAGGGCATCCATAAGCTACCGTCTGGACCGTACTCAGTTTGACATAAGCAGAGAACTTCGCCCGAATAACGAAACACATCCTTCTCTGCGATGTCGCATGTCACCTCCCCTTCACGAACCAGCTCTGAGTTACAGCACCTTCTCCGGCAACAATTAGAGGAATTGCGATGGGTAGTGTCAGCTACTACGGTGGACACCCTCTCAACATCGGCTGCCCACTCAGCGTTGGCACCATCAACGGAAAAGTTTCGCCTTGCCCATGATTATCATGTCCTTGTTGCCGAGACCCCCCCCTTGGAGGAGCCATCTCTCACCTCCCCATCTTCATCCACTCTGCGTCTGTCCTATTCGCCCCGACTGTCACCTCCTTTTTCCCGCTCTTTTTCCTCGTCCTCCTCTGATGAGCATGACACGACGTATGCCCACCGCACGACGTGGACGCCACGAGTCTCAAGTACTTATCTCGCGCCGATTGCCACACCTCTTCAAACTCATTTGTCCAAATTGAAATGCCTCCTCTTAGAATCCGATTTCCACCTCCAACAACAAGTCTTCATTGTGTGGAAGCAGAAGTGTTGGTACGTCATTAGCCTGCGACGGCGCCTTCGTGGTGCATTTTGTCGTATGAAAGCGGCGGGAAATCGGGCAGCGTCATTGCATACAGCAGATGCGTACAACAAATATTGCCGTCAGCGTCACCTCATATCGATCCTCAAGCAAAGAGTCGTCAAATCTGCCTCTTGCGAGGCTTCCGTCGCACGAGGGATAAGGGCGCACCTTCACCGCATTGCGCGGCGGGCTTTTGCTCAAATGGGACGACGGGTGAGCTGTCGAAGGCAAGGAGACATAGTCGTCGTGCAACAGCAGGGTCGTCTTGTTCAAACCGCTTTTCATGCCTGGCGCTGCCTTCTTACTTGTGGGTACCACGTCCGTCGGCGCGAGCGCCGTTTCCTAACTAAGTGCCTAAAGGAATGGCAACATGTCAACCTCATCGAAGAGAGGTGTTTACAGGCGTTGACAATAAAAGTAAGGGCCCAGAAGGCCTTTTCGGCTTTAACGTCCGAGCACCGACGGCTGCAAAATCGGGCTTCGTCGGCAATGCACCTGATGACCGTCCATCGAGTCCGCGCAAGCTTTAATCATTGGGTCCATGGATGCCATCTTCAGCGAAGACATCGGTCAAGAATTGCGCGGGGTGAAACGCACTTCAGACGCACGCAGTGGAGACGCGGTCAAGCGGCACTTTGTGCTTATTTTTGGCGACGGGAGGAGGCTGATCGAAGCCAACGAAGGGCGGAAATTTTTGCAGCGAAGCAACTCTCCGCAAAGACGCTCGGAACGTGGCGAACATTCGCTCAAATACAAGCGACGGAGGTGGAGGCCCGCGTGCAAGAAGGGGCAACCAGAAACCTCCAGCGCAGGCGGGCGCGGGCATTCAGGCAGCTGCGGGAAAGGGCGCGTTGCCAGCGCCAAATAAAGGCTCTGATGACGGTTTTCACAATAAAGAAGGGGCAACGGCGGCTTTGCTACTGGCATGCCTGGGTGCAAGAATGTGGGGCACGGCGCCTTCGAGAATTGCAGCACGAGAAAGATCGCGTCTCCGCTTTCCTTGATGGCTATTTCCATCGCTGGACAGCTTATTGCCGGCTGCAGATGGCCCGTCGTCGCGTCCTCCTCCTCCACACAAAGTCCCAGCTTGCTTCCGTGCTAAAAGTACTCCATCACACCTTCACGATTCATACGCTTGCCCGGTCCATTCAACATGGCCGTGAGCAGGAGCTGCAAGATCGATGTTTGCAGTGGTGGCGTGGGGTAGCCAAGCACTCCACTTGCCTACGACGTCTGCGCTCGGCACGAGCTCTTCGGCGGTGGCGGCTGGGAATGGCAAGACTGACGCTACAGCGAAGCCTAGAAAAAGACACAGGGAATCGAGCTTGGCAGCGTACCGCTTGCCAGCGAATGTTTGGGAAATGGTTATTGTGGGTGGCTGCTCGCCGTACGTTTCACAGCCAGTTGGGCCTCGTACTGGTACATAGAAGGAGAAAATCCGAGTGCCGTTGCCGTGCTATGCTTCACGACTGGTCGACACATGCAAGAACTCGCCGTCACCGTCTTTGTTTGGAATCTGAAGCAGATGCAGGGCGTCAACGCAATCAGAAGACGGCTTTTCTGTATGCGCTCCAACGGAATCAGCGGCGACGTAGAAAAGAAATATTAAGCATGGGCCGAGCAAACGAGATTTTCCATAGACGAAAGCGTACCCAAGGGTTAAAGGGTTTGCTGTGGTTGCACCGGATCAGAGTCTCTCTTCCCCTCCTTCGGCAGCGAGCTATGAATGCCTGGTGGTTGCGCCGAGCGTGGAAAGTGTGGACCAGAAATTTCTTGCGATCCATTCAGCTCCGCCAAAGGCAGAGGAAAAATGAGATCTTATCCGCGGGGCAATGGGAGGTCCGTCGACTCGTTTCAAGTCTGTACCGTCTCCAATGCTTTATAAAAATTTGCCGAAGTTTCCACACTTTGCGGCAGCGAACTGCATCCCGTAGGCTCGAGCAGGCTTGCCAGAGGTGGCGGCGCAATGCACTCTTGGTGTCCAAACTCCGCAATTTCCAACATCGGTGCCAAGAGCGACTTGTCGGGCGACTTTTCTCGGTATGGAGAGGCTGGAGCAGTGAGCAACCTTTAAAGCGTGAGGCTGTTGTACAATGTATGGAAAATACACGCAAGACCAGACATTTTCACGCATGGCGGGCCGTAATCCTACACAGAAAGGAGCTTACTTTGCGAGCAAAGGCCGTGAGCGATGTGGTTGGACTTGGAATTTTGCGGCGTGCGTGGGAAGAGGGCTGGCGGAAAAGTTTCAACGAGGCGAGATTAGAGAAATGTGCGGAGCTCTTTGTTTTGCGGTCGCGCGGACTTAAACCGTGGCGGCGATGGTCACAGAAAATGCAAGAAAGGCAGGAGAAGGCGAAACTGACAGAGGCATTGGAAGAGATGCGTCTCCTGCGATACACTTTACGAACCTGGCAAGCCGCGAGACGATTCCTGTTGCGAGACCATAATGCGATGAATGCCATGAGCCTTTGGCGGCTCAACGCGGGATGGCGACGATGGAGAGCTCGCGCAGCGCGCTTGAAGAACAAAACTCTTGCTGAGAACCGCCAAATGGCCCGGCATATCGCTTATTGGTGCACATTTCTGAGGCGGCGTAAACGGCACAATGCGTGGCTTGCACAGCTTCAAACCTGGAGCGTAGCGCGGCCCACATTTATAGAAGCTTTGGTCGTAAACTTTCCTTCCGGTGTCTTACATTTAGCATGGAAAAAATGGCTGGTGTGGTACGGCCTGCGCGTTCAAAGCCGGAAAATGCAGGGAGCAGGCGACATGCATGTGGCGAAAGGAAAGCCCCTTGCATTTGTGCGAAGATTGCAGCTCAGGGTTCGCACAAAGCAGCATGTTCGAGACCACACGCAGGTCAGAAATTACTTAGTGAGTCAGTTTGTGAAAGTTCGGGCTTTTCAACGGCTGCAGGAAAGGATTATCACCGCGCGTAAAGAGCGACGGGCCATCCGACGCAGAGAGTTGGGTATTCAGCTTGCCAGGGACAGACGACATTGCCTGGAACACGTTTTCTGGCGGTGGAAGGCTTACACGGATACTATGCGTACCACTAGAGAGTGGCTGCATTCTGGAAAAGGATGTGATCGTGTGATACGTGATAGCGACAGAGGTGTAACAGAGTGGATAGAGCCGATAAAAATGGGTCAAAATAATGCCCTGGGTGAATAATGTGCGCTCTAATTTGGGCGAAGCTCGCAATTAAAAGGAACAAAGATGCATACGACGAAAGCAGTCGTCAGCACGCAAGAGAGCACGCCTTTACCTCGCTTTAAGGTCGGCATGCAAGGAATCTTTTACTTTGCTACGAGCAGGGGCCCCACTACCTCCGCCAGGCATGTTCCAGTTCTTTTCCCCTCCCTATTACGTGCTACCTGCATTATCTAACCTTGCCTGACAAAATTCCTAAAGCTCGACACACTCCTGCGGACGTCATAAGCGTTGCGCCATTGAACACAGCCACACCCTCCTTATCGGTCTCCAGCCCTGCCGCCACCGCCTCCCATGCCTTGCGTTTCTTCAATTGCGTGGCACTCATGGCCGGGAAAGCCCCCAGGTCGTACGTGGCATTCCCAAGCGCCACGCGCTCACCCACACGTGCTTCCGCCGGCGCATCTACCAGCACGACCTTGCCCCCGTTCTCATGGGAGGAAGCAGCCAGGACCATGCCCTGCGACTCGAAGCCTGCTATCTTGGCGGCCTTCAAATTGCACACGACTAAGACCTTCCGCCCCTCCATCTCCGAAAGCTGGTAATGCTCTCGGAGGCCGGAAGCGATTTGCCGGGGCCTCTCTTCCCCTACGTCGATTTCCTCGCAGAACAAGCGGTCCGCCGCCGCGTGGGTCCAGACCTTGACAATGTAACCTACCCGGATGTCCACTTTGCTGAAGTCGTCGGGGTACTCCAAGACCTCTCCGTTTCCTCCTTCCTTCTTCTCGCTCCCTCCGGCATTCCCTTGCGGCTTCCCCTGCTTCTCCGTCCTCCCATCGACTTTCGCCCCTGTTTTCTGGTTATCCACCGCCTCCGCCCCCCCCGCGATGCTTTCCCTCATGAACAACACGTCGCCGACTTCCACCCTCGTCCCTGCCCGCAAATTCTGGAGGTCTGCCCGCAGGGTAGGAAGAGGCTGGGGGGGGGTCCCTAGCTTTTGGAAGATGGCCGTCGCCGCGTACGGCATGACGGGCGCGAGGAAATGCGCCAGGACATAGACCGCCTCCAAGGTCAAGCGTACCACTTCCTGCCTCGCCGGCGCCTGCTCCTCCCCCTTCAATTTCCAGGGCTCCGCCTCTGTTAAGAATTTATTCGTGTCCCGCACGCCACCCATCGCCTCGTCCACCAAAACCTTCAAGGCAAAAGCCCGCATTCCCTCCGCGACCCGGCCGCGCAGGCCCTCCAGCTCGATTGGGAGCGGGTACTGCCACCCATGTGTCCGCAAGGTGGGCAGCTCCGGAACCTTCCCGTCGCAGAACTTCTGGCATAGATTGACGGCCCGATGGACCAAATTTCCCAGCACGTCGGCCAGTTCGCTGTTGTGCGCCTGGAGCATGGCTTCGGGGGAGAAATTCACGTCGCCCCCGAAGGGGTCTTTGCTCAAGTAGTACCGGAAGGTATCAACGGGCACCCGGGCAATCATCTCGTGCGGGTCCACAACGTTTCCCAGAGACTTGCTGGGAACGGAAGGGGCCGGGAGGAAGAGGGTAGGGGATCGGAGGGAGGGAGGAGCGTGTGTTGGGCGGGATCTGAGATTCTGGGCATGGACTGTTACGAAAAAAGGCAATCTCTTTCCTTTCCCCCTCTCGGCTCTTTTGTCCTCGCCATCTTCCTCTTACCTCATCTTCCGCCCGTCCCGGTCATGGATGAAGCCGTGGGCGAAGACGGACGTGGGCAAAGGGAGGTTCGCCGACATCAAAATCGTCGGCCAGATCACGCAATGGAACCATATGATGTCCTTCCCGATGACGTGCACGTCCGCGGGCCAGAAAGTCGGCGCCGCTGGATCCAGCCATCGGATGCCGGTCAAGTAGTTAGAGAGGGCGTCGAACCAGACGTACAGGACGTGGGCGGGAGCAAAATTCTCGGGCACGGGAATACCCCAGTCAAAGGTGGTGCGCGATATGGACAGGTCTGTCAATTCCTCCTCCAGCCGGGAGAGGATGGAGTTTCGCCGGGTGTCGGGGAGGATGAAGGAAGGAGAGGCTTGGATGTGCTGGATCAGGGCGTCTCGGTATTTGGACATGCGGAAAAAGTAACTGGTTTCTTCCATTTTTTTAAGGGGAAGACCACTGGCCGGGTCCTTGTAGTCGGCGAGCTTGGCTTCATTCTCCGTGACGAACGTTTCCTCCCGCACGTTGTACCAGCCCTCATACTTGCTGCCGGATGCCAGGGGGAAAGGAAAGGAGGGGAGCGAGCGACACGTCGAGATGAGCAAATGGGGCCGCAGAGATGCCGCAGGGACGTCCACGGAGCCAGGACTACTTGTTTCACTGCCACAGGACAGGCATGGGTTGAGGCAGACGAATGCTAACATACTCACCTTAGGTAGATGTCACCTGCCGCTGCGCAACGATTCCAGAGCTCCTGCGCCGAGGCGTAATGCTCCGGCATTGTTGTCCGCACGAAGAAATCGTTCGAGATGCGTAGGGAATGGTTCAAGGCCTGAAACTTTCCCGCATACATGTCGCACAGTTCGATCGGCTTCATCCCCATTCCCTCGGCCGTGGTCGCCACCTTCTGTCCATGCTCATCCGTGCCGGTCAAGAAGAAGACTTGCTGCCCAACCATGCGATAATAACGCGCGATGACATCGGACGTCACGGCCTCGTACGCGTGCCCAATGTGGGGGTTCCCATTCGTGTAGTTGATGGCAGTGGTGATGTAAAATCGTTCAGTAGCCGCAGGACCGCCGGGCAAAGTCACTCCAGGGTCCCCGACCAAAGGCGCTTTTGGGTCCTCCACGATGGCAGTGACCACAGGCTTCTCGCCTGTTTTCCCTCTCCCACGGCCCTTGCTGGAAACGTTGGGAAGACCGCCCGTGGCTTTGGAGGTGGTACTCGCAGAGGGAGGGGTCAGACCTAGGCTGGCAAGGTGCAAGTGGAGGGTGGAAGAGGCTTCGTCTGCGTCCAGGAATGCGAGGCCATCCGGATCTAATACGCTTGGTGGCCTATCCATAGACCTTCAATGCCATTTCGATCCAAGTTTGGCGAATGTGGGTGGATTGTATGTTAGAAACAGGTTGGATGGGAAGGGCGTATGAAAACAGGCTTGAGCGAGGGCTGGCGAGCCTTGAAGCCTCTATCACCCTTTTCATCACGCTCTCACCCGCACGGGAACAAACTATTCGTTTACACCTGACAGGACCGGTGTCATGTCTTCGTGAAGGGCCACAAGGTTGCGTTGGTTAGTTGTACGTTCCGGGTGTCCAGGATATTTTGGTCTTAGCGGAGCCGCACGGTGCTCCTCGCCACATTCGGTCGCCTCGCGTCACGAGCTTCAACAACCCATTATGTCACCAATGCGGTCGAGTCCGAGATCATTCCCTTACCCCGCGCGTAAGGCCTCCTTCGTGGTTTCAGTCTTGTGGTTACTTTTGCACCTGTCTCTGGTTGCGCATGGATTTTCGCCAGGGTCTGTCATCCGCGGGCAACGTGCCTCGCCCGGGTCCCCGTCAGCCTCCTCACCTCCCCCTCCTGGACGTGCATTAAGGCGCGTCCGGGGCAATATCTACGTCGAAGTCAGCTCCACGGCCTACCCTGGTACGTCTGGGACCAGGGGAGGGAGTTCGACGCCCCCCCTACCAGCTTCCAGCGGGGTGCGTGGAGATCCGGTGACCGTACAGCAAGTTTTTATATGCACCAGCCGGTGGTGCATGCAGCGGGGGGCTGGCGCGACGATGGGGAGTTTCATTGGCTTGACGCCCTATGGAAGCAAGGTGCGGGTGCAGGGTGTGGATTGCCTCGGACGCTGCAACAGGGGTCCGAATCTGCGTCTGCTCCGATCGAATGGCACCTTTGAAGAGCTGAGTTATGTGGATTCCGTGGACAAGGCAAGCAAATGGGGGGGAAATGAGGGCTAGGGATGTGGGCGAAGAGTGTATGTTCTCGGTTGCCAATGAGTTGAACGGTCGCAATGATTTGGGTGCATTGCGGCGGATGCTGGCGAAACGGCGTGTTTGCGTGCCTCGACCCTGACAAGAAACCAACGACGGCCTCCCCTCCATTCAACAGGTATACGACGTATTCACCAGCCAGCTCGGCATCCGCATCAACCAGTCGTCGGCGGACTGCCTCAAGCTCAACTTCCAGGGGAACGCTCATCTAGACAAGAATGAGGTGGACCGCGCGATCGAATGCTACGACAAGGCCATCCCCCTCTCCCACCGCGGCCAAGAAGGCGTCCTGCGGGTCATGCGTTCCACGGCCTACCTCCAACGTGCCTACACGCACTTCATGCAGTTCCGGGAGCTGGTGGAACAGGCGGCGCAACCTCTTCCCGACCAGGCTTTCCTCGCTTTCCTGCAGGCCACCCACGCCTCCTCCCCCTTCCTCGTCCTCCCCGTGCTCGCCCACCTCTCCCGGGCCTACCAGGCTCGAGACCGGCTCTACCGCCTGACCAAGTTCCAGTTTTCCCTCTTTGAATTCGCCGTGCACAAGGCTTGCCACGACGCCCTCACCGCCACCCACATCCTCCCTCACTTTACCAAGTCCTGGATTCGGGCCGGTGCGTCCTGGCGGGAGGGAGGGAGGGGGGAAGGGAGGGAGGGAGGGAGAGTGGTAGGCCATGGCATCCGGTGATGAGTAGGGGTAAGCTTAGCGGGCATGCAACCGACAAGTGTTCCCCTCCCTTTCCCTCCCTCCCTCCTTCCCTCCTTCCCGTCCTCTCCTTCCTCCTCCCTCCTCCTCTCCCACGCACGCCTCGCG